TATTTTGACAAGCAATGTTGTTAAATTGTTTCGTTTATTAACGCTACAACATAGCGTTTCGTGAGGCGGTTGTCGTTGTTGGCTGAAAAGCAAACAGCTGTTTACTGCGGAGCCAGCGCGAGCAGGCTCCCGTTTGCCCGTGAGCGCCGGGCAAAAAACAATCTTCAAATAAAAGAAAGTCACCGAAGGAGTTAAAGGAGAGTGACAGGGAGCATGAGAAGAAGAGGGAGAGAAAGTTTCAGCCAGCTTGATCGATGGAGTTGGCTTCTAGTGGTGCAGTGACGCGTCCTAAAACCCTTTTATAATCTATCCATTAGATTTATGATTCGAAATTATAAAAGTAGGGTAGACATGTGGAGATTATCCGGCTGAACAAAACGTGCATTTATCAAACAGGTTTGTTTTCCACAGACCTTATTTCCAGCTATTTTCCAAAACCCTGTGGAGAAATCCCATTGCTTTTTGTCGAGGGAACCAGCAGCTTACTTCCTGGTTTTAGGACGCGTCACTGCACCTCTCAATATGATGCCAATATAAACAAGGTCTTCTGTCGGCTCAGTACATCAATGCCGACCTATGCTGACAAGTAAGTGAAGAGTAGAAAATATAAAAGGTATTGGCTATAGGGAAATGTCCCAGCAGTTTAGGATAATGAAGGTTCTAATCAATCTATTACAAAGCCATTACATTTCTAACTCCTAATGACAGGAAGGCAGAAAGCGCATTATACAAATAATAATACTCATAATAATAGCAGACACAATATCATTATTTTAATAAACCAAATATGAACAATTGAGGAAAATTATGAAGAACTGATGATTCAAATCTTGTAGTACAAGTAGTAATGAAGTTACTGCTTAAATTACTATTGCAACAAATGTGTTCATTTTCTTCATTATTAGTCGTTTTTCTTTTTTTGGACGAATGCTCCGGGCCAGTGGTTACAATGGTGGGGCCAGTGATAATACAATTCCACCGGCCCGGAGGGCCAGTGAAATGTTACCCTTAATGTCTGCCCCTGTTTTGTATACGTACTATACATTTCTAACAAAGCTTTGGGGGACTCAACATTTCTGGGTTCACTATAGGACTCTATGAGGTGGCAAAGAGACTATTACGTAAACCATGTATTTTGTTTACATAGATATGACATGTTGACCTTCCGGGTTTGTCTCCCAGAGTGAGTGTTGCTTGCCACCCGTTCAAATTACATTGGACTTGAAGCCAGCAAAAACTTGTCTGCTTTTAAAAAAAATATATTTCCCCATATTAGAGGCATTACAGTAACAGCAGGAAGTAAAAGCAATGATTATGAATTGAAGGTACAGGCTCGGGCCTTGGGACCAAAGTGCTGAGCCTGCTGGAGGAGGAGTTCCCCGAGGTGTGTCGGATTGTCACCTCCATCTATCCATCTGCAGAGGATGATGTCGTCACCTCTCCCTACAACAGCATCCTGGCTATGAGGGAGCTCACAGAGCACGCTGACTGTGTCCTGCCTGTGGAAAACCAAGTGTGTGCCTTTTCTCCTCTCACTACAAACATCTCTGCAGTATTTACAAAACAAAATAACCATTATTCAGGTGTATTTGTTCCCTCTGACTTCTCTTCCAGTCGTTGGTGGACATTGTGAAGAAGATTAAACATATTTCTGACAGTGGAAAGCCAGGGACTGTGATCAGGAGGGAAAGCGCCATCATCTCCGGGCAGGGAGGGCTCATTGGAGCCGAGAAGCCTTTTGATGCCATGAATAATATTGTGGCTAACCTGTTGCTCAACATTACCAGGTGTGGTATTTCTGTTTCCCGTACAGACAACCCCTGTCTGCATAAACATACGGCCTGTCCTTTGTTTCAATCCTGTTGTTATTTTATTTGTGAACCTATTTAAATAATTTGGAAACCTTTTTTTGTACACACTATTTTAGAACAATGCTAAACGAAGTGTTTATAAAACGTTGCCAAACTATAATTATATATAAACTACCTTTTTTTATTTTTTTTATTTTTATAAACACCACAGAGCACCTTGTTATGTTTATAGCAGCAACTCTATGTACCTACTGAACAACAATGACGCGCAGCACAGGAGCTACGGGGGTTGGATCTGTTAAAGCAGGTGCTGATTCATTTTGATGCAAACAACTAGATTTAACTACGAGGCTACGGAGATACAAGATTCAATAATGCCGGGCTAATAAGCCTCCGTTACACAATTGATGCGCAGGTTGCCAATTGTTTAGTGTTACACAGCAATACAAACACAACCAGAATGTGTTGTTTTGTGATCACTTTGCCAATCCACATTTTTATGTGTTTACAAGTCTTATCTGATGTGTATTACTAATTCACTGAGCATTACATTTTATTGTTTTGTTACAAAAATGCCATTTCCTACTAACTCACCAGACTTACATGAGTTTGTTAATGCTCCTTTAACTGCCAGCGCCACCATTTGGTAGAGCACATTTTGTTTCTTGATATCTTGTCGGAAAAAAAATAAAAAAGTTTAACTCCATCTGATTCAGCCGCTCTACCCTTTGGTTGACATGTTATGCACAAAACAACCTCTAGATGTCACTGTGGTTCAAACAGAAAGCCCTTCAGCTAGCTTCCACTGAGGAAGTTAGCATGCTAAAAATCACTGCTGAAGAAATCACTCTTTTTGGTCAACTTTTGTTAGTTTACCATATAATTTGACATATTTTAGTGTCAGAGTACTGACTGAACATAATTAGATAACTTGACGCACAACAAAAAGTTTTAACAAGGGTGTAATTATTATTATTTTTAAATATGCTCAACCAACCGGTGGAATTGGTCTTTTATGGTAAACTAGCAATATCAATCAATCAATCAATCAATCAATCAATCAATCAATCCATCAATGTTTATTTATATAGCCCAATAGCACAAATGTTACATTTGTCTCAGTGGACTTCACCAATATGACTTTTTCAGAGTTTCAGAGATGTTTTTCAATAAAATATGGTAAATAAATGGCTAGATTCATGGTAATATTACTATATCTAGTACGACCTTATGAGTCTCAAGAGTGAAAGAGTGATAATAATTTATATAGCACCGTTCATGCATCATGGCATTCAGCCCGAAGTTGCACACAGATGAGCAAGTTAGGCCAACACAGGATATAGACATTTCCTGTTAGGCCAATTCAGCATATACAGTAAGATGAGCAAGTCTTTTTTTTATTATAAAAAACACTTAACATTTCTTTTTTACATTTCTTTTTTTTTACAATTATAATTTATTATCTTTTATGAATATATCTGGTTGTATATATTGCTCATTTTCCATAAAAGAAACAAATGTATTTCAGTTTGTGTTTTATTTGAGTTTGATGCATACAAATACTGTACTGTAGATGATTGTTGAAAATGCACTTTTACCAGAAGGCCAGCTAGACCAGTTGGTAGAGGCTCATAAAAACAAAACTGTGGTCAGTCAAAACAAATGAAATTGTTTGTGGTTATTTGTGGCCCATTTGATAAAAAAATGCTAAAAGATCATTTTCCCATAGCTTTTTTCTTGGTCTGGCAGTTAAAGGGTTAAGTTGCTTATGTGTCATCTTCCGTTTCAGCTCAGCTCGTTTTGAAGGGTCTCTCAACATGGATCTGAATGAGATTGCCATGAACCTGGTCCCCTTCCCTCGTTTACACTACTTGGTGCCGAGCCTCACCCCTCTCTACACTCTGGCAGATGTCAGTGTCCCCTCCAGAAGGTCTGCTCTGGCTGTGAGAGCAGCTATTTTTTACGTTAAACATGCCTCATGTCGACCGCAGTGATAACTGAGAGGAAATAAGCTCACTGATTAGAGGTGTGTTGATCCTCATTTGAAACATATTGATGAAACACTACCGGTTACATAGGAAAATAATTTGCCAGATGCCACAAACCCGGCTTTCAATTGATCAGATGGGATGTCAGCAACTTTAAGTTTAGTGCTGCAGGCTTGTGAAAAAGGCTATTTGATCCTGCCCCCATTCCACCTACCCTCCAACCTGCTCTCCAACAACAACTGCCATGAAAGTGGCCTTGTGAGCCATATAGTCCTCATCTGTTCCAGAGAAGCTGCTCATTGGTCAAAAAGAGTGGCGGTGAACTGGCCACGCTCCCAGAGCATATGTGTCTGTATGAATGTAGAGCAGGGTGTTGCCTCAAAATATCTTGCCTGCCCAGCAGACTTGCCTGGATAAATAAAGATACATACAATCTTAGTAAAACATTGCTCCCTTGCCCCAGTCGGTCTCAATTTTACATAAAAAAACTGTAAATCCCTGAAGTCCTTTCAGTACGCTGTGTGTCTCTGTCCTCAGCTCAGACCTCATCATGACAAATGTGCTTCTATAGTCCATAGAGAAGTTTGTGGTTTGGATTTGTTACGGGCACATTTTTGTTTAGCACAGTGGTTCGTGTTATAACAAATTAGGGCTGCTCAATTAATCGTATTTTAATCGCAATTACGATTTTGGCTTGCAACGATTATAAAAACAACATCGAAATAAAAGGATTATCTCTTTATTTTTTATAAAACAATAAAAAAAAGTTGAGTTATACTTAAAGTTCAGGGTAGTCAACTGTTAAAATAAATCCATCAATTTTTTTAAAATAAATGGATGTTTTCAAAGTAAATAATAATCGTTTTTAATAATCGTGATATCAATTATTGACCCAAATAACCGAGATTATGATTTTTGCCATAATCGAGCAGCCCTATATCAAATCTGACCTGCCGCATCACTACTAGCCAGTAAATGGAGACATCATTCAGGGCAACCAATACATAAAGGTTGACAGACAGTGTAATACCTGGAAATATAGTCAAGATGATTTTCTTTTACTTTCTGTCTTTTACTGTGCCCTCTAGACTGGATCAGATGTTCAGTGATGCCTTCAGTAAAGAGCACCAGCTGATCCGAGCCGACCCGAGGCACAGCCTCTACCTGGCCTGCGCCCTCATGGTGAGGGGCAACGTGCAGGTGTCTGACCTCCGCAGGAACATCGAGAGGTCAGAGCACCATCCAGCCTCTCAGTCTTCATCTGAAACAGCCAACCAGCCAGCACCCCCACCCTGATAGGCCCAAAGATGACCTTTACACTCGCTCTCCCAAATAGTACCCCCATTCAGCACTGCCTGCCATGATTCATGACTGGTCCATTCAGCACCCACCTCTCCTCAGCTCTCCCCTCACCACTCTCTCTGCAGAACTTGTTTTCATGTGGCATGTTGTCAAGAGAAACTGAAACAGAAGCTGCTATGAGAGCACATATTTGAGCGTGACCATGGTGTAAAATAGGAGGAAAGGGAGGGAGGGAAAGCAAAACACTCTTCAGGGCACGCATAATCAATGGATCATATTGAGGCTAAATGTTATATTGGTTATGTCTGGATATACTACTACGTTTGTTTAATGATTTTCTTTTGCCATTTCTCATGAAAAAATCCCAAACATCTCAGCATGTGTTGCATTTCATGTATTTTATATAGTAAACTGAATATGTTGTTTTGGATGGCTTGGTTGGATAAAAGACCTTGCAATCTGTTTAACTGAAAATGTTTCTATATTTTCTGACATTTTATCAACCTAATTATCAGTGTTGTTAAGTGACTCGGTGCTCTACTTTAGTTCCACCTGGAGTAAACTCACAAGCTACCCTGCAGTATACAAAGTCATTCAAACTAGCTGCACCTTTACCAGCTTTGATAACACTTTCATGATTAATCATTATAAAACATATATCATATTATTCTGAAATGGACCAATCTGCACAATGACTACTTTTACTGTCGCTACTTTCACTATATTTGGATGAGAATACTTTTCTACTTTTACTTGAGGAACACTTTGAATGCAGGACTTTTACTGTAACAGAGTATTCCTACACTCTGGTACTTCTACTTTTACTCAAGTACAAGATCTGAGTACTTCTTCTTTTACTCAAGTACAAGACCTGAGTACTTCTACTTTTACTCTAGTACAAGATCTGTGTGCTTCTACTTTTACTCAAGTACAAGATCTGAGTGCTTCTACTTTTACTCAAGTACAAGATCTGAGTGCTTCTACTTTTACTCAAGTACAAGATCTGAGTACTTCTACTTTTACTCAAGTACAAGATCTGAGTGCTTCTACTTTTACTCTAGTACAAGATCTGAGTGCTTCTACTTTTACTCAAGTACAAGATCTGAGTACTTTTACTCAAGTACAAGATCTGAGTACTTTTACTCAAGTACAAGACCTGACTACTTCTCCCACCTCTGGTAATTATGAATATCCTGATGAGAAAGATATCAACAGATTAATCAATAATGAATATATTTGATTTGCACAACTTCAGTGTGTTGAGATTCTTCACTTTACAGTTCTTGTTGGCATCCTTGTCACATGATGGAAAATAATATTACTATCCGTGCTGTTGAACGGTTTGAAGTGTTACTTAGTAATCTTGTATATTTTTTCTTCAGTGAAATGTAATTTCTTCCCCTCTCTAGACTGAAGCCTTCGCTGCCATTTGTGTCTTGGAACCAGGAAGGCTGGAAGACGGGCCTGTGCTCGGTGCCTCCTGTGGGCCACTCCCACTCCCTGTTAGCCCTGGCCAACAACACCTGTGTGAAAACCACCTTCATGGACCTGAGAGAACGCTTCACCAAGCTCTACAGGAAGAAGGTACAAGCTGTATTAAAAAAGGAATGTGTCGTTAATCAAGCAAAACTGGCAAGGACTCCATTACAGCTACTTTTATCCAGCCTGTAAAAACATTCTGCATTACATTAATGCACATCGTGCAAAAAACATCTTGTTCTTTTTTAAATTGTAAATCCTGCACATTTCTTCTCCACACTACCTCTTTTAAAATCTGCAGTTTTCTACTTTGAATATAGTATTTGTCATATATTATGATATTTTACTGTACTCAGTTGCTCACATAATTATATTCTGTGTAAATATTGTCTATTTTTAAATTTGTTACAATAGTTTTAAAATGTTTTTTTTTAAAAAGCTTTTATAAAAGTACAACTAGCTTTTTCTTGCTACGTGTTCTCTTTCTGTGTACCACATATACCAAAGCAAATTCCTCCTATGTGTAAAACCGATTCTGATTCTGATTGATACACTCGGTCTAAAGTGAGGATTACTAATTTGATATATCTGACTGAAATACCTTTTTGTTTCTTAAGGCTCACTTACACCACTACCTGCATGTAGAAGGGATGGAGCAGAGCCACTTCTCGGAGGCCCTCAGCTCTCTCAGCTCCCTGATTGAAGAGTATCAGCAGCTGGATGCCACCAAGGGAAGATTCATGCCTGACGCATCCAGACTCCACATCGCCAGATGAAGTTTCACTTGTCTGTTTCTTTGTCTGTCTCTTTGTATAACAATTATTATTTGTTATGTTATAAGGAATAATGATGACGTCACACAGCCAAATTTTTTGTATATAACTTTAAATGTTATTTTTCAACATTTTCTAATTTATGACTCCATTAAAACTTCTGTCTGAAAGAAATAAGCAGTAGCAACATGACTTATAACATAATAATAAGTCCTGCTGCCCTGGCCATGTCCGGTGTTGTTATACAGTACACATACATGTGCTGGTGACATTTTTCAAAACTAACAACTTTTAAATATTTCTTCTTGTATTCAATGATTCCCAGTCATTCTTCCCTATGAAATCAGTTGTTTTAGTTTCAGTTTGAGCTGCATTTGTTTTAGTCCCGCGTCTTTGTCCCTGAACTCTTTGGAAGGTTCCATAAGTTAGAGTAACCTCAGGTCAGAAAACATGTCACCAGGATCGTTGCACTTCCTCTGGCACACGCAGGACGTTATCCACTGCATCTTCCACTGTGTGCTGGTGCCTCCCTTGCAGGTGAAGTTGACCTTGTTCATGCGGGACTTGTTGGGGACACAGCAGCGCTTGTCTGTGCAGACGCCGCAGTACGTGGGCTTAAACTTCTTGGTGCTGGTACAGCCCGAGAGGGTCAGCTTCTCCGCCTTCTTTGCTTGAAATTTAGGCCGGCATGTCTTTCCCTTTGGCGCCTATGAGAGGGAAATAGTGATTATTTTATTGAAAACTATGGTAATACTTCCATATCATTTTACCAACTTGTCACCTTAACACTCTTCATCACGCTTTTATCACATGGTCGCAGCAGACACAGGCGCCGGTCCTTCCTCATCTCACATTTGCCGTTATCGTTGTTGACACGCGATGAGATGCCCAGGCCGCAGGTTTTGGAGCAGGGGCTCCAGGGGGTGGTCTGGATCAAACAGTTCTTCTTCCAGGCTAAAGGAGGATCCCTGTAAGCTTTCAGTATTACAGTTAAAGGGCACTGTGTCAACAACACCCTACACAAAGAACTAGTCTGTGGGCTACATGCTGCCGCACAGAGCACACACACACCTGATACACACCAAATACCTGCTCGTATCCACCATAAGGGAGTTCATTTTCTTCTAAATGTTTCCCTTGAGCTGTACTTACACTGGTTGATTAGAATGAGTGGAGTAGAAATTGCCATTTGGCTAAAATGTAAATATATTTGAGAAATCCCTAAATAGTATATTTGCCAGGTCATAGTCCTATTTTGAACCTGGAAATGTTGAGTACCCCAAAGTTTTATGTCAGAAATGTATAGTCAGTCCCCAGCACATAGAAACTGCCAGATGCTAACTTGCAATTGGCAATTTACACAATTAGCATCAATTGTGTTAATAAGCACAAATTACCAGTATAGCCTATGATGACAATAGTTAAAACATTTCTTCGCCTATTTGGACAATTTTGGAGTGGTTTTGGGAATAATGGAGGATGCTTAATCTATTTCTGACATTTTCAGGAACAATTATTGCAGTTTTAACCAGCAGTGGTCACTTTCTGGTTAAAACAGCCATTTTTGATCCTGAAAATGTCAGAAATGGACTCCATAATGAATCCCTAAACCACTCCAATATTGTCCAAATCAGCCAAGTCATTTTTAAACTATTGACCACATAGGCTATAATTAGTGCTAATTAAAAACATGTGAGTTAGCATCCTGCAGTTTCTATGTTCTGGGGCCCCCTACTATACATTTCTATCATAAAACTGGGGAGCTCAACATTTCAGGGTTCACAGTGCTGACATCGACACTAAAAGGTTTAATTTTCCTAGTGTGGATAAGTTCTACTGCCAGAGTAATAGAATGCCAGCTCTCCTTCCCAGATGCCAGATAACGTGGACAGCAGTCCAGGCCCTGCAGGCTGGTTCCTGTACACAGGCCGCTCTATAAACACACCTGACATGTAGGTAGTGCCCTGCTGGTTCTTCTTTGGACTCTGGCCACTGCGAAGGCCGGCTGGCATGTTTCCCATGAGTGAGACGGGGCCTATGAGTTCTGCAGGCTTCTGGATGAAAGCAGGGGTACAGCCGATAGCTCCAGCAATACATGTGCACCTATAGAGGGGGCTGGGCTGGAAACCTTCTCCGTTCTCATAGTGGGCCCCATTCAGGTCACAGCCTACTGCCATCAGGTCTGAAAGAAGGAGGGAAACACGTCAACGCTCTGGCTCATGATGTCACTGTGAATGTTAAAAACAGCAAAAGATTTGCTCATACATCAATTAAGTCTTCTTGAAATTAATTGACTTATCACACACTTATTCTCACATGAAATAAAGAACCTTAAATAATTCCAAGATAGCGTGATATTTGCATGAAAATTCATTTTGAAGAGCTGCTCACTGAGTAGACATTTAGAAAAACCTGCTTTTCTGTTTTCTTTCCTCCCAACCAAGCGGTATGACTTCCTGTCCGCTCCTCATAATTAATCACACTGCTTACACTCTGGTCACACAGTCATTTTCGGGGTTTTATGTCTAACGAAATATGTTTCTGCTGCTTTTCCATGTATTGTGTATGCCGGGCAATAATGTTTTTTGGGGCCATCCTGTGATGATCCCAGTGATATTACTACGCCGCCATAGTTTCACAGCACAAGATAAAACAAAACAGAGACCAATCATAAAAAAACAGCCCGACAGCTGTAGAATTCCACATAGAAAGCCTTTGTAAGCTACATCCGTTCACTCAGTACTGGCAGAAGACAGGACAGCAGAAACGACTTGGCTGGGACATCCCTAGTTTGTGATCTTGCTTATATATTTTATATTTTATCACCAGTTCCTGTGTCAACAAACGTACAACAACGCAACATGTTGCATTTCTTTTTTTAATAACAGTCCACACTAACAGTATGCATCACACTAACCGAGCTCTGGAGATTCAAACTGAAAGTGAGTAGCATCCTGTTTCTTAGAACTATCCGAAGATGAGGATTTCAGAGAAAGACGGAGCCACTCACATGCACACACTCCAACCTCATATCGTGGCTGGTCCGCTGAGAAGTCACAGTACATGCTCTTGTGGGGATCACAGACGTCCCTCTCGTTGCACGGCTCTCCGATCTGCCTGGCGCAGCTCTTGCAGCAGCCACACCCGTCCAGGACGGAGCTCACTCCCGGGGCGCAGTGGGGTCTCTCCCGACAATTGCAGGGCCACTGGCAGAACTGCCGCCTCTCAGCCGCAGCCCGCCCGTCTCCAGGGGCCAGCTGCCCATTGTTCTGAGCCCGGCTGAAGACCTGGGTGAGGTGAACACATCCATTTTCACCCGCAATTTCTTAAAGGAGCAATAGGCTACTCTGAAGAACTGTTTGACCATTTGCAAACCGCACTCCCCTGGTGAATTGGAATGGGGGAGACTTAAAGCGTGCTGCCTTTTTAATTATTTTTAAATTGATAGATCAAAGAGCTCTAAGTGAGGACCAGAACTCCACACCACTTGGTTTGGAAATTGTGTTTATACTTAACAAAGCAACTGCTGTTACTGTACTACATTTAAATCTATTTATATTACAGCAAATAGCTTTGGAGATACAAAACACCAAACATTTTTACACTTTGTACATTATGTTTTACCTTATCATTTGAGACCCTCCAGAGGTGGTGTTTAATATGCAGTAATACTGAATGGACACCAATAGCCTCCTTTGGTTGCTTATGGAGACAGTTAGGTCAACCAGTCCCCAGAACAAGACTTTATTATATGAGATGGGGATCTAATTTCCTCTGCAACATCGAGTATGTCCAATTACTAGTATTCTTCTGACTGACAGATTGGATATAATTTGGATGAGCACAAGGATAAACAACAGGATAAACAATTTAGACTTTAATGACCTCATGACCTTTTTGGGCCACTCTTAGGGGGGAAAGCCTTTAAGCCCCACTACGTGTAGGTCTCTTTGAATAGTATTTCAGTATGTTTTAATTATATTTGTTATCCCTCGCTACCTCTTGTTAATAACCCAACTACTATCGAGACCAGAAGACCTCCATATCAGAGTACATAAATAGAGCGAGCAACAGACCCTTCAAATAAAAATTGTATTGTCTCAAGTCAATAACAAATTGTAAGATTGCATTTTCTGTCTTTTTTCTGACTGATCAAGTTAAGCTTGAATACAAGAGATTTGCGTGACAGGTAAACATTCCTGCTGAATAAACTAGTTAATCCATATTTGTGTCAAACATCCCTTAAGAAAGTTAGGAAAATAAACATTATTGTCATTTATAAACTATTAAAAACTCATCAATGAGCCTCACTGTTGCACTGGCTGACTATTCCTCCCCGGTAATGAACATACACTTTATAAGGACTACTACCCCAAGTACTCACTCTATCACCAAATGGGGATTAACCCACCGCTGAAATAGTTCCCAACGATTGCTCCATTTATTTTACTCTTATACATTTTTTGTTTATAGAAAAGCTGAGTTTTTAAAAAACTATAAATTGCTGACCATATTTTAATAGAAGACACGCAGCAGTGTTCCCTATAGTAAGCCGTAGATTGACATTTGACACATTCTTTTGCATTATCACAGGTGGAGGTGTACATTCTTTACATGAAATGTTAAATACTCCATTATGGGATTTAAGTTATTTTGGGATTTTTTGAGTCTCTACTGTCAGTTACAAAAATGTAAAAGAACAAAATGAGTCAAGATACGCAAACAGAAATATTAAGGCCATTCAGCTAGAATCAAGCCCCTTTTTCACTACTACCACAAATGATACAATATGTAGTTTTAGTTTTTAATTGAAGCATTAATGTTTTTTTTATGTCTCTGTGTTCATGTGAAAGCCTATACGTGGTGACGGCTTACAAATCTTATGTTTGTATCCTTTTGTTTAATTCTTTCAAATGAATGGCTTTGATTAGCTTGGTATTTGCTATGATGCAATCTATGTGTGGAGCGACTTGTGCTTCAATCCCCCCCGACTACTGTTCAAGGGTCACTGAGGGTTATGCCAAAAATCTGAAGCCTGTCTGCCAGGTTTACTGAATGAGCTCATTTCATGGTGTGACAATGGGTCCACAGCAGCTTTTAAATAAAGAACTCAGACTTTTCTCCACAAGTTTCCCACTGAAAACAAGCTGTGAACCCAGTCAAAAAGGACAACACACCGATCTATGTTCAAATATGTTTTTATTGGCCACCTGATTATTATTTCACTATATTCCAAAGAGTCTAATAATGAAAAGTAAAAATGTGGGTTAATCCAGATTCACTGCTACAGAGAAAACTGACGCATCTCAGTTGTCTATTTTCCTGTTGCTCCAGATACGGCATGCGTTAAGTGTGTGTATGGTTCCCTATCAGAAACACCAGTCTGTCTGTAGAATAGAAAAAAAGAGATTTTAGTCTTACCTGTTGAGCAAGGACGAGTAGCAGGGAATGGCAGAGAAGCGATAGCATCTCTTAAGTGAGAAGGTCTGTGTGAGCTCCAGGAGGGCACAGGGGGACGACAGAGCTGGAAGGTGGGATTTAGAGAGGAAGACTGGCAGAGGGAGAGAGAGAGGAGTAGGGGAAAGAGATTGCGAGAGCTGACCTGGTGGAAAGGGGACAAAGCACCCCTCTGTCTCCTCTCCAAACACACCTTTCCCTGCCTCACTGATCCACAGGGGAAATATTTGTCTTCATAACTGCTGGGCCACACCAGGGCCTTCAAGTCCTGCCCACTTGTTTATTCTTAGTCTGTGTGTGGACCTGCTTCATTTATCTGGGAGCAACTAACAGTTCAATCTGTAAACCACGTGTGAGAGGCTGCCACATAAAGTAGAACACTTTAAGAAATACTTTCCCAATCATTCTTTACCAGACAAAAACTGAACTCATGAGTAGACTTCCAGTTTGTAAATGCATCCACTGTTTGTTGTTTGTTCTATTTGGTGCCTAAACTGTATGGTCCCACTTAATGCAGACAGCGTGTCTTTGAGTTCACATTCCATTATTATTTACACTGAGTAAAGAGGTGACTCTCAGAGCCAGCCATCCACGTAAAGCCAACGCCCCTTTGAGACATGGACAGACCAGAATGAAGCCGCTTATTGGTAATGTTTTTGACGAGTGATCCAGGAATAAGTCTTCAATCCGGAAATGAGTCAGCATTGACTCAAGATTAATGTTTTTTTTTTAATGTTTTTGGTTTAGAAGCAAATATGAATATCCAAAGCTTCTTTGTGTCATAAAAACGGTGGTTGAAAGTGTTTTAATGAGACTAGCGTAATCATGATGAATATTAGCAGCCTTTAGCTTAGCGAGGTGATGCACAGCCATGCATTCGTGATGTACTGTAGTTTGTTTATAGCTTATTGTTAGCTCTTTATTTTTGCCGATTGCATTTTTGCTTAAATCTGAACAAAACATGTACGCTTGTCAAACGTGTTTGCACAGATCTTATTTTCTGCAATTTTCCCAATTCAATGGAAAATCCCATTGTATTTGTCGAGGACACCAATGCTAACATTCGGGGTATAGCCTACAGAAATACATCATCACTGCATCGCTCTACAACTACTCTCCCAATAACCTTTTCCCAGGTTTTGTGCATAATATCTTGTTGAATGAATTGTCAAGAATTGTGGAACAGATATTTACCCCACACTCAGACTACATTTTTATATATTTGATGATATTTGAAGTTATCACATAGTGCCTCATCGGTGTAATTTGTTCAATACTCTGGTTTATGACCATAATAACCTAATTTGAGCATCCTCAAAGGCTCAACTTAGATGGTAAGTATCGTCATTATTATACCTTCTGTACATCTTTTTGGCTTTGGCATTATCAGGGTCCCCGCAGATCCTTAAAAAGTATTAAAAGTCTTACATCTATTTTTTGATATTCAAGGTAAAAATGTCTTAAAATGTCTGGCATTTTAGGAGGGGAGGTATTCCTTTGTATCTGGGGCAGAATCAATGAGTGTGTCTATTTTCTTTTTATTTGTATGTTTTATTTTCTCGGTAAATTTATTTTATATCCTGCAACGTCCAATACCTATTTGTTTTGTACCTGGAATATATGTAACTAGCGCACAATCCGCTTAGTAGGTGTCTGTAGAACGCCTTTTGTGGCTGTGATCCGCATTTTAAGGTGGAAGAAGAACGTGTTTATCCAGCTTCAAATTTGAAGGCTGCCGCGGACAAAAAGGAGCACGATGCTGAGAACAGGTTTAACAATGGGTAAATGCTTATTTAATGACAAGTGGTTGGAGGACGACAAGTATCGTGGCTGGCTGTTCAGCTCCTAAAAATAATGTGTGATATAATTATTCACTTCAAGAAACTGTGGCATGCAAAATGACTTTTCTATGTTTTCACCACACCTGAAAGAATGAGTACAGAACATTTGTCATAGATCACGTGTGCTGTTACAAGGTTTTAAGGTTTCCATCCCTTTTTAGGTATGTTGTTGCCTTCACAGATTTCCTGCGCTTCAGCTTCAGCCCATCTCGCACTCTGCTGTAAGGTGTCTGCTCTGAGATTCAGATCTCTGCTCTTCTTTAGAATAGTTTTTGCAAAAACCTGTGAAGATGTTCCAACATCTTGAATGACAGGTGTACACCCACGGCCAAAAGTTTTGAGAATGACACAAATATAAATGTTCACAAAGTCTGCTGCCTCAGTTTATATAATGGCAATTAAAATATACTGCAGAATGTTATGAAGAGTGATCAGATGAATTGCAATTATTTGCAAAGTCCCTCTTTGCCATGAAAATGACCTTAATCCCCAAAAGCACATTTGCACTACATTTCAGCCCTGCCACAAAGGAATAGATGACATCATGTCAGGGATTCTGTCGCTAACACAGGTGAGAGTGTTGATGAGGACCAAGCTGGAGATCACTCTGATGCTGATAGTTAGAATAAGAGACTGGAAGCTGCTGTTAACCCCTGAGCCTGTTTTTCAGGTCTCAGGCTCGAAAATGACATTCCCAGAACAAACGACTATATCTTCACTTCTAAAAGGGCTAAATTAATAATCTTTTTTCTCAAAGCAATGATAAACCTGTGAGTTGGATGTAGAAAAGTCAGAATCAATATAGATTTTTTAATTTTAAAGTAAATTCAGATTTAACAAATTTTAAAACAATGTAAATTATAGTGTTCAAAAAAACAACATTACTTATAGTGAAAACTACGGAGCCCTGGAGGGTTCATAGAGAGAAATGGAGTCCGAGTCAAAGTCTGAGTCACCCAAGGAGTGTCCGAGTCGAGTCCGAGTCATCATTACCTGTATTGGAGTCCGAGTCCAAGTCCGAGTCACCCAAGAAGAGTTCAAGTCAAGTCCGATTCACAAGTCTTCATGTATTCATTTTTGTGGATATATGTGTTGAATGTAGCTGCTCGTGTTCTA